TTTCAATAAACTTAGAGAGGGCTTTACAATGCCTTGGTAAGGCCACACTTGGAATACTGCATCCAGTTTTGGTCACCACGATGTAAAAAAGATGTTGAGACTCTAGAAAGAGAACAGAGAAGAGCAACAAAGATGATCCGGGGACTGGAGGCTAAAGCATATAAGGAATGGCTGCTGGAATTGGGTATGTCTAGTTTAATGAAGAGAAGGATGAGGGGGGACATGATAGCAGTGTTCCAATATCTCAGGGGCTGCCATAAAGAAGAGGTGTCAAGCTATTTTCCAAGGCGCCTGAAGGCAGGACAAGAAGCAACGGGTGGAAACTAAGCAAGGAGAGAAGCAACCTAGAACTAAAAAGAAATTTCCTGACAGTTAGAACAATTAACCAGTGGAACAATCTGCCTCCAGAAGCGGTGAATGCTCCAACACTGGAAGTTTTTAAGAAGAGACTGGACAGCCATTTGTCTGAAATGGTATAGGGTTTCCTGCCTGAGCAGGGGGTTGGACTAGATGACCTCCAAAGTCCCTTCCAATTTTTTTAAATTATTATTATTATTATTATTATTATTATTATTATTATTATTATTATTATTATTATTATTATTATTATTATTATTATTATTATTATTATTATTATTATTTACTTTTGCCTAACATTGGACTTTTTTACAGCACTAATTCACCGTAGCTGTGTTAGTTACATTAGCTCTAATGGTAAAAGAAACAAGTCTCAACAATATGATGGAAGAGCAGTTTTTATGTAGTGAGGTGTATAAATTAATTGATTGGTCCTCCAGAATCATGGAGCTTAGAATTCTACTGCCGATCCCACCAGATGAATGAAAATTGCTCAAGTGCAGATTATTGGTTAGGTATCACTTGTATGTAACCATCACTCTCTTTCTTACAATACACCTGTATTTTGCTGAACTTCCAATTGTTGGGAATTATTACTGAAGGAACCAATTCTTGTAACATGTTTAGCTAATGAAAGAATCCAGAGTTATGAAAACATTCCTCCAAGTGCTGGTTAACTCTGCTTATGAGCACTTGTCCCAATATATAAGATATTTTTGTATTAAATTAACAGATGATCCTGAGGTGTCATTGTTTTTTGCATAATGTTGTCAATTCACGAGTTTTTAATGATCATACATACACAGGAAATGCTCACAGGTGCATTTGCACACTCACAAAAATCCGATTTTTGGGAAAAGCTAATGTACTCATATTTGACAGAGATTTTCACATACACAAGTAGAATGGATTATTGTTAGATTTTCTACCAGGCTCCCTTCCACCTCCTCCACACCCCCTCAGTTAGGAAGACTGAGATACGAGATAACTCCAATCAGCTTTCATGGCTAAAGAGGGATTCCCCAATGCCAGCCCAATGCCTTAACTGTTATACCACACTGGTTCCCTTCTGCCATTTAATTTCACTAGTTTAGTCATTTGTCTTATGACACAGCCACTTCATCATCTGAACGGCTTTGGAGAAGTAGGTTTTAATGAAAGATGGCATTTCTTTTTTTAAAAAATTGGAAGATATTAGTGGATTTCGTAGATGTTTTAATATAACCCTGCACTTAAGAGTAATTTGAGTAAACAGCACACAAAACATTTTAATAAATAAATGCTTTAAAAAAAACTATTAGGATTCTTGGAATTTATCCCTGTCTTCTTGGATAGTAAGTATTTCACCAATTTTATGTTATTTGCAAATGTGGTAAGCATTCCCCCTTCCTGGTAGAGTTAAGCTGACAGGCAAAAGTTCCCAGGGCAAAGACACCATTTGTATAAACCAGTGGTGGCGAACCTATGGCACGCGTGCCAGAGGCGGCACGCGGAGCCCTCTCTGTGGGCACATGCCATCGCCCCAGCACACGTGGTCTCTAAAAGTTCGCCATCGCTGGCCTAAGGCCAGCCAACCTGGAGCCGCCATTGGGGAGCCCACCATCCCACCCACCAGAGACTCCCTGGATCTCCCCCAACCCTGCCTGGCTCCCACAAGTGTCCCTCCCCATAAGCAACATCAAGGTGGCCATGCCCACCCCGGCCATGCCCACCCAATCTGCCATGACTACTGCAGCCACACCCATCCAGTGGCCATGCCCACCCAGTCTGCCAAGCCTACTGTAGCTGTGCCCGCCAAGTAGGCCACACCCACCCAGCATCCGGCGATACATAAGTGGGTTTTGGGTTGCAGTTTGGGCACTCGGTCTCTAAAAGGTTCGCCATCACTGGTATAAGCAATTAACAACTGCTCAGTTTCAAAGCCATGAAGTGTCTAGCAAAGAGCCTGTTGAAAGGTGAAAGGAAGGAATGGGAACAGGTGTAATGGGTGCAGGAGGGAATTGAACACTTCCTCTGGTGGGGGCAATCGAGTTATAATCAGTTTTAAAATAGAAGGCAGGCTAAAGATTTGGTCAAACCATCAGCAGGTTTCTAGGATATAATCTATCTGGCCCGGAAGACAGAATCATACATCTTCCCTAACCAAGAGATATAGAAGCATCAATCATATGTCCCACTCTTCACAATTACTTGGTGGAATGCCTAGTAATGGAATGTTTCGAGCCAAAATAGGAATTAAATAGTTATGCCTTCTCTTTGTTACTTGATGGCTTTTTGTTGTCTTCATTGAGCAGTTATTATATTAAAGTTGTATAGAAATCTTTTCTTTTAAAAAAACACATATCCATTGTTAGAGAGCCAGTTTGAAGTAGTGATTAAAGGCACTAAACTAGAGTTCTAGTCCTGCCTTTGAACCAGAAGAGGCAAGGGCAAATACTGCCAAATACCGACTTGAAAGCATTTTTAAAAAATCATAAATATACATACCACATATACACACCCACTTTGCACATATCAGTTCATTCTGAGCTTTAACTTTCCTGACATTTCTGTAATAGTGCATATACAATTCTTTAGATCTACCCCTTTCCATCTATATGCACAGTATACAGTATGCACAGAATGTTGCCTAGTATCCAGACCAGAACAGTCATTTGTATGAATGAATTATTGTATAATTTGCTATTCACTTTTGTCTGTCTTTGTTCTTCATACAGCATTAATCTTGCGAACTCTCAAGCTTCCTCCTTCCATTATATATTCAAGATGGACAATATTTAATATTTATTTGCTACGTATATGTAGAGATGTGGGTCTATACATATGTTGTTCATAGTATGTTTAGGTGTGTGTCATGTATGTGTTTCACTTTGAGAGCGGGAAACTAAATCTCATTTTTGATGTGTGCCATTGTGCCCACAGTATAAAAATGACAATAAAGGTTATCTATCTATCTATCTATCTATCTATCTATCTATCTATCTATCTATTTTGAGATTCACATATGAATATCTTATATACAAGAACTGTCTAGGTTTACACATTGTGCTAAGTTATAAATATTTTGTTTGATCTTGGCTCAGTATGTTGTATGAGCTTAATCATTATGGTTTAGGCTCAGTCAAAATTGTGGCTTATTCAAGAAATTGTGGATAAAATAGTAGCCTAGCATCAATGGTAAATACAGCCAGTGCAGGCGATGAAATTGTAACCAGAGATTCTTATTGAACACAGCAGGACTAATTTCTCAGAAAACTCAATTCAGCTATTTTATTATTATGTAAGAGTATAGCTTTGCATCTGTTCAGTAGATAAACTGATGCTGAAACAGGGTAAATTAGAATCATAGAGACAAAAGAGATAGTGAGGCCTTCAAATCCAACTTCCTGCCTGGTGCAAAAATCCAAATTAAACATCCCAGATGTTCAGTCCCTGCCTGAGTATATTGAGAGTCAGCTGCATTATATCTCATGAAGAGTGGCCCTCATGTCTAAGTAATTGCTTTCATTGAACTACTCTGTTAGGAAATCTTTCAATGTTTATTTGGAATCTGCCTTCCCGTAGCCTGAAACAAGTACATATACAAGTACATGTCTTGCATTAAGGAATAAAAACTAAATCAAACACTTCTATGTGATATATTTGAAAAATGCCATCATATCCCCCTTCTAAAAGCTAAATAACATTAAGTATTGTGAGGAGTTCATATCTGACCTCTACTTATACCAAAATTCTGCAGCTATGCCTTTTAAAAACATTCATTTATTTATTTTATATCTTGTAACATCTACCCTAGGAGCCATTTTTTTTTGTGTGTGTGAATAGGTAACGTCTCAGACAACTAAGTTGTTTCATGAAAGCTCCGGTGACACTTTCTCTCAGGGAATGCCGTATTCTTTCTGGAAAAACCCCCATATTTAATGAAAAATTCAGAAATGGGCTTGTGGTATTCCAGTTTGCATTTGAATCAAAATATCTGGGCTTCTGATCTAACAAGAGATGGGATTCCAGGTGGTATTTTAGTGTCCCATTCCACTAATCTTATGGGAAGCTGGAGCTCCGCTGGGATCCGGAGAACCACTGCGCCACTAGAACGTCTGATTCTAGCTAACTTCTAGAGCAGTGTTTCTCAACCTTGACAATTTTAAGGCATGTGGACTTCAACTCCCAGAATTCCACAGCCAGCAATGCTGGCTGTGGAATTCTGGGAGTTGAAGTCCACATGCCTTAAAATTGTCAAGGTTGAGAAACACTGTTCTAGAGCCTGGAACCCTCGCGCCGTCTTTTTTTCCCTCGGCAGAAGAGAAAGCAGGGCCAGCTAGGGGCGAGTGGGGCAGGGTGGCATTGTGGCCCCGCGTCGTAATGGGCTCCAGGAGGAGGAGGGACCCCCGTCTCCTCCATTATGACGCGCGCTGAATTTCACTGTGCTGCGCAAGGCGCTGCGTGGCGGGCAGGCCACTTCGGCCATGAAGCGGCAACAGCAGCGGCGTCGGCCGCGGCGCGGGACGGGCCAGTGTCTTGGGGCGGAGAGCAGGTGGCGCGTCTACCCGAGCGACCGAGGCGCGCCCAGCACCAACAAGGGCCGGAAGAAGCCGCCCGTCGTGTCCTGCTGCAGTCTGTCCGGCAGCGAGACCCAGCAAGAGATGACGCGCCGGCGAATCAGCCCCGGCCGGTTCTCTCCGCCGCAATGCTTCCCGGACCCGGCTTACAGCTCGGAGCCCGAAGCGGCGGGAGGCGAGGGCTGCCTTGGGCGCCTCCAGCTGGCGCAAATGTACCGCGACGAAGGCGGAATGCTGTTGCCGCGCAAAGGCAAGTACAGGGGCGCTTCGCTCCCGCACGCTAAGGCTCCAGCCATCGCCACCGCCGCTTCGGCCCGCCTGCGCCGCCCCACCTTGCCGCAGCAGCACCATTACCTCGCTCCGGCCGGCGAGGGCTGCGCTACTCCTTGCACCACTTCTTGTACCACCCTCTACGGCGGAGATTTCCAGCCCCACCACGAGCTGCCCGGCCGCTCCCCGCCAGGCCGGTGCACCCGGGTGGAGGAGCTGCTCCGGGACGACCAATGGGCCAGTCCTGTGACTAGAGCTCTGGAATATGGGACCGACTTTCCCACCGACGTCAGCAAGCCACCGTCAGTCTGCCCGTCTTCTTTTTCCTTCACTCAGATGGACAACAAAGCTTCTCCCAAGCTTGAGAAGAAGGAACCCAAAAGAAGGGATTGGCAGGAGCCCTGCGACAGCAGCCCCAGCTTGGTAGACCTGATGCATTCCTTGAGACAGTATGAGGAGGAAGACCCAATGGCTTATTTGCCCCCTAACAACAATTCACACCATCACCGTCACCACAGTCACCACAAGAGCAAGAAGGGAGACCCTCAGATCAGCCTCCAGGATCTGACCGAGAAGAGATACGAGGAGATGATTCCAGAAAGGGACAAAAAGCTTGCTGCTCTGATGTTAGCTAGGCATCAGGAGGAAGAAGAGATGAAGGACAGGCAGCTCCAGGTCTCTGAGGCCTGGGAAAAGATGAGGCGGAAGGAGAAGAAGCACAAAGCGAAGTTGGAAAAGGAGAGGCAATACCAGCTGGCAGACAATATGGACCAATGGCAGAGGGACCGGGATCAAAGAAAAGCCAAGGTTAAGTTAGACGAAGAGCAGTTAATGGCCGCTAGGGAGAGGGATATGTTGTTGCGTGACAAGAAGTGGAAGAAGCTAGCTAAAGAGCAGGAGTGTAGACGTAGAGAGAAATTTGAAAATGCCAGGCTTCAGGCTGAGTATAGGAAACGTTGCCAGGAAAAGCAACTCTGGGATAAACGGATGATGGACCGAAATGTCAAAGATCAGAACTCTCATGCATGCAAAGAGAAGATGCTGCAGGCCCTGGAGAAGAGGCTTATAAAGGAAATGGAAAGGAAGAAGAGAAAAGTAGACGTGAATGACTATAAGAAACTCAAGCCCATGCAAATGAAAGACCCAGTCGAGGACAAGCTGAAAGCTGACGAGCTGTACAAGAGGCTTTGCATTGAACAAAAGCTTCAGAGGTCTCAGGAAATCCTTGAGCAGCTGCTTGAAGAAAGGAATAGAGAACTGAAAGAAAAGTCATACAAGGATGAAGAGCAAGGCCTAGTGGCGAAGTCTAGAGCTAAAGAGACGGAGGAGGAAAAGAGAAGGCGCAAGGAGATGTTGTTGCAAATAGCTGAGATGAAGATACAGCAGGCCAGGGAAATCATGACCAAAAATATGCAAGACAGAGCACAACATATAAAAGAAATTAATAGCGCCAAGGAAAGGAATCACCATTGCCGTAAACAGAAGCTCGAGTATGATGAAAAATGCCACCTGCGGGAATTGCAAGAGGCTTTAAGAAGAAAAGATCTGAAAAGCAATCAGCTTCTAAGGTACAAGGACGCGGCTGTTGAAGACTCTAGGAGAATAGCCAGAGCCTCCTATGGCCTTAGAGACAAAATGAGAGATCTGATAAACCACAATACATTTGATCCAATGGCTTTAGATGCCCACCGTAATGCAAATTGCCCCAGAGGCCTGTAGTGAAGTTTAAGGAAACAAACTGTCTTCTAACCAGAGTAGATGGTTGTAATGCATTCATATTGCAGAACTCTGCATTGCTGTACACTAAAGTGATTTCAGCCTTAATTACTGTTTGACTGATAAGTACTGTGGTTTAAAGGAATTTACAATATACACTAAAAAGCTCTGGTGTGCATTTGTAATGTTATTGTGAACAGAAAATACTGACCTTTATCCACATAGCTGCTATGAACAACTTAGTGCTGCACAGAATTTAGCGATAACTTAAGTCGGGTAGGCAACCTTGGCTCTTTTATGACTCGTGGACTTCAACTCCCAGAATTCCTGAGCCAGCACGGCTCAGCTTGGAAACCTCTCCCTTTTCCCTCAGCGTGGCTGGCTCAGGAATTCTGTGAGTTGAAGTCCACGAGTCATAAAAGAGCCAAGATTGCCTACCCCTGACTTAATGCAACACATTTTGATTGAATATTCCTGTAACAATGATTTTTAAAATCATATTTTACCATGGACAGTTGGAGTTAAAAATTAATGTTTTACCAAATGTGACATTTAAAACATTTCAGCTCAAAGTATACATTGGCCAGTCAAGTATTAATACAGGCTGTCCTCGACATGACCACAACTGAGCCTCAAATTTCTGCTGCTAATAAGACAGTTGTTAAGTGAGTCATTCCCCATTTCATGACCTGTTTTGCCACGATTGTTGAGCAAATCACTACAGTTGTTAAGGGAATCATGTGGTTAAGCAAATCTGGTTTTCCCCCCCATTGATTTTGTTGGTCAGATGTTCACCAGAAAGGTTGCAATGAGAATCTCAGGACCCCAAGGATGCTGCAACCGTCATAAATACATACCTGTTGAGAAGCACCCAAATTTTGATCATTGACTGGAGGGATGCTGCCACGGTCATAAGTGTGAGAACTGGTCATGAGTCACTTTTTTCAGTGACATTGTAACTTTGAACAGTCATTAAATGAATGGTTGTAAACTGAGGACTACCTGTACTAGTATTTTAATGAAAAACATTCCAGTAATACATTTCAAACCATTATTTTTGTACATCTAAATAAATCAAGCGATAATTTGCAGTCCATATGCGAATCACAAATCCTACTTGTTCCTTTGATGTTTACAAGTCTTTCATAGGGTTTAACAGACATGAATGTATTATTTTAGGATATTAGAAATTTATTATTGTATGCCTATGTACTTTAGGACTGACATTATATTGCCAATGCTAATTTTGTAAATTTTCATAATGTTAATTTTATAACTTTTCATAATGTTAATTTTATAACTATAAATTTATGATGGCAACCACATACGCGCTAACCATATATCATTTAAGATAATTTAAAAATAAAGCCTAACCAGAATCTGTTCATTTCTAAAAAATATGAAATTGTATTATTTGATGTTTATATTCTGAGATTTAATGTAAATCAAATCAAATAAAATAAACATCCTCTATATTTGGTAAATTGGCTGGAGAAAATAAAGACACGAGTGCTCGAAACACTGGTAGGTGTTCATAAAAACTTGATAGAAAGTTTTTCATCTTTGAACTTAAACTGAATTTGCCAGGAGTTAGCACAATAAATATACCTTACAACTTCTTTTTTACATTTCATTTCTCTCATCAGCTGTAGCTATAAAGCTGATATAGATTTGCTTTGACATACATTTTTTTTAGAATTAGTGTCTTAGCTAGACGTATCAGTTAATATTTATGCAATATTAGAGAATAATATTGAGGCCAAGATCTACATTGCATGAATGACCTCCATGTTGAACTAACTCAAAGGAGTTGGCAATGGTTTGTTTCTGAGATTCTTAAGCAGCAGTAGATGGTAGATTGAGACCTCACTAATAAGGCCAAAGGCAGCATGATTGTAATCAGGGTTTCTAGCTTACACACTCCTTCCTCTATTACACACATTATACATAAGCCCCATGTCAGTGATTACAAAAGTTTCCCTATCTGGTGGTATCACATACTGCTGGGAGAGGAGGTTTAAATGGAAAAAAACTCTCTTTTATTTAGCCTACTATTTAATTGTATTTATATTAACTGCAGAAAACATATGTCTGTAAGAGATCCTATGTATTCAGATAGTTCCTTGAACAACTGTTTGGTGGAATATCAGAGTCTGGAGAAATAAAGCTGCACTGTTGGCTCTGGATTATTATTAGGTGTAATACAGCAGATTAGTTCCTGTATACCTCAATGGAAGCAAATCGGCTTGAACGGTAGAACTTAACTCGTTTCATTGAATTCTTTATATCCCAATAATCCAGAGATTTATTACAAATACTGCTTATCACAAATAGCCTTTTTGGGGCAATGTGCTTAAGGGGGTTATTGTCAGGCTTGACTCCACAGGGAACTGGAACCGTAAGCTCAGAAGAATCAAAGAACTTCAGATAAACACTTTTCTTAAAAAAAATAAAATAAAATTTAGAAAGTCATAGTGAAAGAATTCCAGCAGAGCAATGTATCAAGACTAAGCCCTATTTATAGAATCAATATGCAAACCCTTTTGTACCTTTTCTGGTTTCTTTCCCTACAGAATGTGTTGCTTAAAGATACAGTTTCTGTCTGTCCCTTGTTTCTGCAACAGATCACTCATATTTTTGTCTGTATGAAACTCTCATACCCGTGCTGAATCCCCGCAGGTTATCCTGATGAACAGAAATGATTTCAACTCCATTTCAATCTAGTTTTTGGACAAAATCTTTCATGGTTGCACTAATACATATCTTGGAAAAAGCCGCTGAATGCAAGTTTACTGATCATGCTTAATCAGCAATCTCTGATACATTTAGCTATACCATTTTTTTCTGGAATGTCTTCATGGATTGAGAATAGAAGGAATTTTATGGTGGTGCTTCTACTTGCAGGGATGGTTCGCAAATATAGTACAATGATTTACTGTAATTCTGCATCTGGCAGCTATTTTCTGACATATATGGTGTTATACAAGGGGAAGGCTAGAAAAAGAGTGGAACTTGAGAACACTCTGGGTAATTCTTGAGTAGAGGAAATGATAAATTTCTACACTGGGTTGTAATCCTTCAGTATATTTATCATTTGGGTGTGCTCATAATTGACATTACAGGCTTCTGTGACATTTATGCAAAATATGCCTGTTACCAATTGGGAAAGCCACAATGTCTTTTTCTAGGCATGAATTATTTCATTCATTCATTCATTCATTCATTCATTCATTCATTCAATTTCTATAGCCACTCAACCAATTTTGTCACTAATTTATTAATTAATTAGTAACATTACATTTGGATTTCTGCTTTGTGCTTTACTGTGTTTCCCTTTATGCTCAATTAAGCATATGCACAGAATATGAGGGCAGGACAAGAAACAATGGTTGGAAGACTTCTGATTTGGCATTGCAGCGAGATGGATGCAGGGAGGTAGGGCTCTGCCTTCTGTGCCCGATTTCTCCCTGCTGCCTAAAGAGCCTAAAGTCACCCTGAACAGGCCATGAAGAAGGAAGGGTGCCTCGTCGATCATGGAGAGATGGTGGTCTTTCCGTTCAATCTGAGGAAAGCCCTCCAAACTGGCAGGGGAAAGACTGGCTACATTCCTGTGACCAGCCATTAGCCACTGACAACCGAAGAAAAAAAGCACCAATTAGCAGTTTGTAAATAGCATGTTTGGAACTGGGTGAGAATATTGATCCTTTCTTTACTATTTTACAAATGAATTTCCTGGGAAAGGCTCCCAAGAAGTTAAAAACCTCTGAATGTGAGAAGGGAGGGGATAGCCCCACCCTTCCAGAGGAACAGAAGCAGCGTTTTAATTTCTATGGGAGACAGAAATACATAATACTGAAGTGGAAGTAACATAAAGCTACAATTTGGATAAATTTGAGAACTGAGATAATTGTTAAGATTTTCTCTTTGAAAAAAAACATTGAGGTGAAATATAAGAAATCAACCCTTTGTTTTAAGAGTGGAATATTGATTTTGAATGACATCTAGTGGTGGATTTGAATATAGCACTACAACTAGCTTCCTGGCTGCTTGGTGACTCCTAACTTAATGGAGAACAGCTGGCAATAAAGACAAATATTTTGGCATACTTATCACCCTGACCTTCTTAGATTATAAACACCTATTGAACTTGGACTTCTAATTTCAAGAACTATTGGGAGAGAAAGAAAAAAATGACTTTTGACTACATCTGGCTGGGAGAGACTTTTGAACTGTTTTCAGAGTGGTTGAACATTTTGAACACTTTGAATATTGCCTGACTGACAATTCTTTGTCAGGCATCCAGCCTGAGACAAAATATTGTTTTTAGGACTGGACCCATATTCTGGAATCTATTGGATTATAAAGGCTACACATAAAGACCAGAAAACTAGATGAAACTTTGTTCTACTCTTATTAAGATTTGTGATACTAGACAAGACTTATATTTAGGGAACATAAAAGTTTTGACAGATTATCTGGAGGGGGGAAACACTTATAGTGGTAAGTGGTAAGAAAATATACCTTGCACCTCCATTTGAAGCCCCCACCCAGGCTAATCAAGGATCCCCAGGAATGATGCCTCAAGAAAAAATAAACACCTTTCAGAAGGAAATATACTCTATGCTACAACTAATTCACCAAACAATTGTCGCACACAAAGAGGACACAGAAAGCAACTATAATGAGACTAAAAACAATTTAGATAATATAAATGAGCAATTCTCCAAATTAAATCTACAATTAGAAAATTCCCAGACGACTACAAAGTATGAACAAATAAACCAGAAATCAGAAGATGAAGCAGAGGAAATTGACCCAAAGATGGAAGAGGTAAAAGAAGAGAAATATAAACTACCATACACAAATAAAAGATTTGTACTGCAAGATTTAGACATAACAACGCAAATGGAAAAGGCGCTGTCATGCCTCCGTCCGAGCCTGACTCTGAGGAAGACATGGAGTTCCCTGTTGAGGCCCAGGAGGGGGTGTCTGTGGCTTCGGAG